CACACGAATTATTAAGGCCGTGAAATATTCTGGGCGTCGGAAAACCCTTTTCAAGCTTTCGATTTTTTTTGGGATTTTTAATGATCTAGTTGTAAAACGTGAACCGATTCGTAATTTTGAGAGCATTTACGATTTTTGAAGACCTTGGGGAATAACTAAAAGGATTTTATCATTCAGTTTCAAGTCAATTGTGTAATTTGTTGGGTAGAGATGGAAGAGCTAGCTAAACACGGCACAATGTTGCCGGAGGACATGATGGGATTGACAGATGAACAGATTGTGGAATTGAAGCTCAAAGATGAATGGGGGGAAAAATGTGTTCCCATGGGTGGATGGACATTCAATAAAGATGAAATTGGTAAGTCAATTTGTCAGTTAAAATCGTTTAAGGTTTTATCCCTGTGATTATACTATTTAAGGGCGCAGAAATGGTCGTCAACCTAATGAGAAAATGAGCGAAGTTCTAAAGAAAGCAGTAGAAGACACCCGTGCTATGATTTCTAAGGTTTTTATTAATTATTCAACGATTATTTAACAAAAACTGTAGTGCAAATTAGTCCTTCGAAACGATTGATTATTCATTCCAGAAATTGGTGCAGCAGGAGAAGTTCGTGACTCTGGCTATCGTCCAAGAAGCTCTCAACATCCTCCGAGGAGCGACAATGATCGTGTACCCCATGGGATTACCCCCTCACGAAGTCATTCGTCGAGAGTTTACAAATACTGAAGACTTAACAGGAACGCAGGCATCTCTAGAGGTAAAAACCAAAAAAATTGTAATCTACCGGTTTACGGATACATGATTACTCTATGAGCCTAAAAAAATCGTAATTTGGACTGCACCAATCAGAAGACGGGAAAAAATAAGAAAAGAAAAATGTGTTGATGTGAGAAAATTTCCATCACATTTCCTTCTGCCGCTAGATCATAGACATCCAGTTGGCGGAGCTCTGGTTCTCTGGCAAGCAGATGCTACCAGGTAAAAAGATAAAAGACTTCTTGGGCCCAAATGAGAAGACAAAGATCATTGTTAAGCTCCAGAAAAGGGGATCAGGCCCTCCAGGTCGGGAGCCTTTGATGTCGGAAGATGATCAGAAGCAGCTGATGCTCAGGGCTTATCGACGCGAACAGGAGTTGAAGGTAAGGGGAATCCCCGTCGCTCATTATCGGTTAGTAAAATAGGCAACTGCAATACTCGATGTCAGTGGAGTCGATATTAATTATAACATTGCACTATCGGTCTGTAGGAACTCGTAAAGGAGCGTAACTCGAAATTGCTATTCACTGAAATTCAAAAATTCGAAATTTTTTAAAAAAGTATCAGGGGAACATGAAAATCGAGCTGGTATTCACTGAAATTCGAAAATTCGAAATTTTTGAAGAAGTATCAGGAGAGCATGACAACGGAGGAGGTATTCACTGAAATTCGAAAATTCGAAATTTTTGAGAAAGTATCAGGGGAGCATGACAACGGAGGAGGTATTCACTGAAATTCGAAAATTCGAAATTTTTTAGAAAGTATCAGGAGAGCATGACAACGGAGGAGGTATTCATTGAAATTCGAAAATTCGAAATTTTTGAAAAAGTATCAGGGGAGCCTGACAACGGAGGAGGTATTCACTGAAATTCGAAAATTCGAAATTTTTGAAAAAGTATCAGGGGAACATGAAAGTCGAGCTGGTATTCACTGGAATTGAAAAATTCGAAATTTTTGAAAAAGTATCAGGGGAGCATGTCGCGTCCTCTCTCTCTTGGGGTGAGCTGAGCCTCTCCTTTAGTCAATCCTCTTCGGGCTCTATTGATTCACCCCGTGGAAAAGTAGTCCAGCTCTATCGATTTTTT